GGAGCAGGAGCAGGTTTAGTAGAAGGAGATGGAGCATCCAGGCCCAAATGGGATAGTTCTACATTTCTACATGTTTACTTCACATGAGTTGAACATATTCTACACCTTCAAACTTCCTCTCTCCTCCTCCTCCCTCCTCGCTCCTCGCTCCTCGCTCCTCGCTTCTCCTGCCTCCTGCCTCCCTCCCTCCCTCCTGCCTCCTCCCCCCTGCCCCCTCCTCCTCTCTCCTCCCCTCCTCCCTCCTTCTCAGTGCCTCCTGCCTTCTGCTCTTCATGCCTCCTCCCTCCTTCCTCCCCGCTCTCTTTCTCTTGCCGACTTGCTTCCCCCACCCTCCAGTTTTCTGCTCCGTCCTCCCTACCCTGTTGGTTGGATCGCCAAAGCAGGGGAAACGGTCGCAGCCTTCAGCATGAGAGCATCTTTGAGAGACGGCGTGAGGACGAGGAGAAGTCTTGCAGTCAAGCACACTGAACCTTCTCCTCCGAATCTGCGACTGGAAGTTCGAAGTGGGCAAGTGCACCTGGGAAGGGTGAGGAGGGAGGATGAAAGGAAGGAGGGGGGAGGAGGGAGGAGGGAGGAGGGAGGGGGATAGGCCAGATTAGCCCCATCGGAGCAGCAGTTCAAAGATTTTCACCTTGCAGTATTGATGGGTAGAGTTACGGTAGTAGGAAGACTTGTTACAGCCAAAGTGGCAGCACCTGCCAAGGGGTGAGTGGCCGTGGGGGAGGAGGAGGAGGAGGCGCCAGAGACTTGCTGTGAATCACGTCGACGAGATTTGGTTCCTTGTGGATCCCACATGCTGGACAGGAAGCAAGGAAAGCCAAGAACAGGAGAGGAGAAGAAGGAAGGAAAGTCAAGAACAGGATTAGAACATCCTTCTTATTGCGCAGGCACCTATCGGTCTTCTGTCTATGGGATCACCGAACACGGCCCACTTGGTACATTTCCAACATCGCCTGCCAAGTCTCAGGCTTCAGCGCGAGGAGGGAGGGAGGGGGGGGGGAGCAGCAGTTCACCGAAACAGAGTCATGAAATTCAACGCTGTCTGGTCGTCATCCTCGTTGAGAAACTTCCTTCTTGTCCGGTTCTCGCTGAAGGCAGAAGTGATGGCAACGGCACAACCGCTGCAGAGGCGGATGATCCAGGTTTGATTCTGCAGCCATACCATGTCATCATACCAGAATCATCGTCGTACCACTGCTGGCAGAGCAGTTCAGCACACTCTACCTTGGCAGCTATCCCCTCGGTCGCCTTGTGCAACAAGCAGGCAGAGCAGGGGGTGCAAGAGGGCTGGCTGGGATCGCAAAGAGAGCATGTGAGATTGGGTAGCAGTAAGTGACTTCGACTGACTTCGACTTGGAACGATCGCCATCTACTGTCTTTAGGTTCACAGATAGCTTCTTTTCCAAGCGCTCCCTCCGCTGCAATCTCAGTCACCGCTGTGCTCAAAAGTGTCCGATGCTTGCCTGCACGATCCATGAGAAGATCTGCCTTGCAAGCCTGTCGTCTTTGGACTCCAGCCTGTTCAGAAGAGGAGGGGGAGAGGAGGGGAAGAAGAGAAGTGGAGAGGAGAAGTGGAGACGAGGAGAAAAGGGAAGAGGACAAGAGTGGACAGGAGAAGAGAAGAGGATTGGAGGAGAGGCCAAGGATCAGGTGACAGGTTTCAGTGCAGAAGGAGGCATTCTCCTACCTAGTCATGTAAGAGTGGCTCTGCCCAAGACTCGCCCGAGGCTGCCGTAGAAGGTCATCGCATCGCAAACATGGCACAGCTTCAAATAGATAGGACCTGCCCCTCCTCTCCCTGGACATGAAGATAATCGTGCTCTGCGGATAGCTGTTACCATGGCACCACAGATGTACAAGCTCGAAGAAGAAGAGGAAAACCCCGAAGCTCTCGCATGATCAGCATAGCCGAGCTCAACGGGAACAGGATCGAAGGATGACAACATGGTGGTGGAGTCACGATGACACGGGGATAGGAGCAAGGTTGGAGAGACTTACCACCCAATACAAGAAGGAGGATGAGCAGAAAGATGCACTTCATCCATGGGAATGGCCAGTAGAGAGGATAGAGTCTTCGATTTGGCAAGGATGGTGCAAGGGAAAAAGCGTTTCAGGTAGGAGAACGAGTGGACAGCAATGTTTTTTGGGGCAAGGAGGAGGAGGGAGATATGAAATATGGATGAAAAGGAATGAGAAGGTAGATGATGTATGAGGAGGACGGGGATGTTGTTTGCTATGCAGATGATGATGATGATGATGAGGAGGAGGAGGAGGATTAGGAGGGGGAGGAGGAATAGCAGAAGGCGGAGGAAGACAAAGAAGACGAAGGCGATGATAATGATGAAGACAATGAGGAGAAAGACGATGAGGAGGAAGACGATGAGGAGGAAGACGATGAGGAGGAGGAGGAGGAAGAAGACGAGCAGGAGGCAGGTATTTCAACAAAGAGCACAGGCCTTGTCTTGCGGCAATGGGTGCATTGTGCAAGCAGGAAATCCGTTCACATACTTCACTAAAAAACTAAAAAAGAAAATGTTTTACACATATATTTTTTCGGCTCATCCGATCATGCGCGGCGGCTGGTCGACGGTCACTGACTCAGTGAGTCCGAGGTGGCACCAGGCGTTACCAGCGTGACGGGCCGGGCCCGCGGGGCCGCGGCACTTGGTACGGGTCACCGTCGGGTCACCGTCGGAGCACCGGCGGGCCGGGCCGGGCCCCGGGTCCGGCCGTCGGCCAGGCCGAACCGTCGCTGCGCCGTCACTGCGGAGGCGTACCCTGACTCATCATCCCGAGTCCGTGACTAGCCGGCCCGGCCGCCGTAGCTGGCCCGTACCGGCTGTACGGTACCCGGTGACCATCCGCCCCCGGGCTCCGTGCCACTTGAGTCAGTTGCTAATCTTAAATACTCAAAGTTAAGTTAAAAATCAGTACCAGTTACTTGTGACTTGCCGGAACCCCCGGTGAATACTGATCGGGTCAGTAAGGTGAGTAAAACGGAGCCAGCCTATAACGAGGGGTAGTCACCCACCCCACCTAAAGTACTTATAATCCAGATAAACTTGGGGGTAGTGTGAGCTGGACTTTTGTACTTGTACCCCTGGCGAATCACTGCTATCAACTGGTAGGTTATTATGTACCATGCACCTACCCCCTACACGAGAAACTGACCACCCACCCTGCCTCACCTCTACCCCTATACCACGGTGCTAATGTAACCAGCGATAACCAGGTCTTGATCATGACCCCTATTTTAGTCTGAGCACCACCCCCTACTCTCTATCTATTGGACCACCCTTTTTTTAATCATCAGGTTTTGCTACCCTACCCCCTAGTAATGCTTCATCCACAACTAGAAAAATCATGTTTGTAGTACCCTACCTTCAACAAGACTGATTTCAAGGAGGAGGGGTGGGTCCTTGAGTACCCTTTGGGCTAAAACCCGTGTACATTTTGATGGGTGTTGACTAGAAGTACCCCCCAGCGTACCACCCCCTGTTCTACCACCCTCATCCATGACTGCGCCTACCCACCCACCCTACGCATTTCTACTACCCCACCTCAAAACTGTGATATCTTCAGGTTGGAGTACCTCAAAACAATTCCTGAGTACCCCTACCCCACCAACGTGATGATACCGTCACCGTAAAGGCAAAACACCCGTCCATATCACACCCTACCTACTCATACCCATTCCAGTCATCTGATATACCCGGTACTTCTACACAATATCACCTACCTCTGACTCACTTGCACTTCACCCCACCCCCTCAAATTCACTTACCACCCCCCAAATTTCTCACGAAACCTCTCGTTAGGACCCCTACCCCCTTTTCTAATGCCTTTTGCCCCTGAGATCTCAATTTCCAGGATCGTCGACCCACCCTTCTGGCCATTCTCTACCCTACCACCTGACATTATTTACCTACCCCATCCTCGCCAATTATCTTCCTGTGTAAAGGGGGTACTTGTACCCCCTGAAAGTCCCACCCCCCACCCTCACTACCCCAGCATTCAAGGAGCTCCATCGCACTTCACATCCTGTAATGTACCATATGAATGTACACCCGAGCCATAGGGACATAGGGTAGGGTGATGCTTTACAGAGTTGGCGTTATTTTTACGAAAGAGGTATGAAAGAATCCGCCATGTATATCTGGAATGAAATGTCCCTTGTTCTGATTCTCCGCAGGGGGTGTAATTTTGTGATTATTTGAAATTATTGTGATATTTTTCTTTGCATTGACGAAAAATTAAGGCCAATTCAACTTTTCTGTGATTAAATTTCATTGATCTTCATTTTTACCCACAAAAAGTATGTACCCCCATCGGTTCCGTGGCACCTAGCGCTAGTGAAAGCAAGGTGATGCTGAATGTTGGTCGGGGGCGGCGACTGACTTGACGGGGAGCAGGAGAGGAGGAGGAAGGTAACAGGGGAAGAAGGAAATACTTGACAGTTGCTGTCCGAAACAAGCGTTTGAGGGAGGTTCCGGTTGGATGTCTTGACCTGCCTGTCGACGTCAAGAAGGTCTCTCCGCTTGCTTCACATCTGTTTGCTTGTTGGCTCCTCTTGCTGTCTTTTGGGTCTGTTGAACGCCCATGTCTCACGATTTTTATCCTTGTTTCTCTGTTGATCAATGCTATGCTGCCTTGTGATGTGAGAGATGGCAGAGTGGGTGTAATGGTGCATGTTCTTCCGTCAGTGTGATTTTTACCAACTTCATACATACACGCCATGCCTGATGTCCTGCGTTGCACCAGGGCTAGATGCAGCGGATGGAATAATGCCACCTAGTGCGACCTTGAGCTGGCCACAGAGAAGTGGAGCGATGAAGAGGACAGGGAACCGGAAGCTCGGTAGATCGCTGTCGATCAAGGCCTTGGAGGATGAAGGGGGGCTACAGCAGCCGGAGTTCATCTCGAGGAAGTCAGGGGATTTCCCTGTCAGTCTTACCTGCTTGTCGGCAGTCGCCAACATGCAGGACAATGGGAAGTTTGGAGAGGCGCAGCAGGAGCTGGAGGACATCGTGTCAGGGTCGAAGAGCAGGAGGGAGATGGCGATGGCTTGCTTGCTTCTTGGGGAGCTGTTCAACCGATGGGGCTCATGCTCGCAGAGCTACTCGATCGAGATCATGGCGAAGGGAGCTATGTACGCCAGCCGCGCTGTTCAGCTGTACAAGGAGGACGATTCGGACATGGACATTGAATTTCGCAAGTTCTCGTTGTACTGGAAGGCAATCAACTGCGCATCAGTGGCGAGTTTGGGCGGTTGCAACACGTGGTCGGCAGATGCTGCCATGCAGGAGGCCGAGATTGCGATGCAAGAGATGTCTCTGACGCGGATCAACAGCACTCCGAAGCAGGTCATGGAAGACGGAGGGTATCAGGATTTCGTTCATGGAATGCTCATATACTGCAAGGCCTTGGGTGTGGAAAGGGGATATTTCACTCTGAAGGACGGCAAAGATCTGAATAGTTTGTTGCTGGAGAGTCTGCAGATGTTCCAGGATTCTTATGAGAAGTTAATTGCTAGCTGCGGCGAGTTGAACAACCAAACGGTGAAGACTGTGACTATGATTTCTACGATGAACAAGATGCTGGGGAATAAGGAAGAGGCAATAAGGTGGGCCGAGAAAGAAGTTCATTTGAGAAACAAGCTCCATGGGGACCTGAACGTTCGAACACAAATCGCCAAGAAGAAGCTGGAGGAAATGACGGGGATTCAGGAGGCAGACGAGGCTGAGGAGGAGGACGACCCTTCGTTGTATGGATCGTCCTTGATCGATCCATCGGAGATTGTGTGGAGTCTGAACCCGTTCGAACTCACGCGTGAGTACAAGATCAACTGCATCTTGCAGATGTTCAAGTGCAGCGGCCTCTCGGAGTTGTTCAACATACCCGAGGATCGACTGCTTAGGTTCGTGCTCAAAGTTCGAAAGTCATACCATGAGGAGAACGCGTTTCACAACTGGAAGCATGCCTGGTCCGTCACTGTATGTGGATTTCTCATCATGCAGGAGATCGGAGCGGAGAAGTTCCTGCTTCCGACAGACAGACTAGCAATCCTGATCGCTTGCATTATCCACGACATCGATCATCCGGGAGTGAACAGCGACTTTTGATCAAGAGTTGCTCGCCCCTTGCCTTGCAGTATCCTGTGCTGAACGTGTTGGAGCACATGCACTGGTCGAGAGGGAAGGAGCTGTTGTCGGAGGGTTGCGACACGGACATCCTTGTAAATACTACAGCTGAGCAGAGAAAAGAGATCCTGGACCAGATCTACGAAGGGATCATGTCGACTGACATGCAGAACCACAAGCAGATCGTGAAGGAGATGGAGGCGAGGGTGGAGGAGCAGGTGAAGAAGATCGAGAGTTGCGAGGTCATGCGAGGCTCCTGACGTTGCTGGTTTGCAGAAGAGCTACGACATCAACATCCCCCGCGATCGTGTGGAGCTTGTTCAGGCGATTGTACATTGTGCCGACCTCTCCGGTCAGACTCTGGAACCGGAGGTGGCATATCAGTTCGGCAGAGGGTGCGAGGAGGAGGAGGGAGGAGGAAGGAAGGAGCTCTGACTGGGTGGTACAGGGTGATGGAGGAGTTTCACATACAGTCGCAGAGGGAGAAGAATGAGAATCTCATGGAAACTCCCTTCATGAAGGGCCTGCACAAGCCGCTCGCTCAAGCCAAGGCTCAGCTTGGCTTCTTGCATTATGTGAGGCTCGAAACCCCTCCACCGCCTTCGTCTCGTCCTCTTCGCTTCCCTTCATCCTGCCTGTCCATCCTTGTCCTCCTCGTCTTCTCCTTCTTCCTCTCTCGTGCTCGATCTTGTCCTCTGAGTCTTCCTCTCCTCTACCTTCTCCCTCCTCTCATCGAAAAGCTCGTAGAGGAACCCTCTACCCGCCATCCCTCATCCCCTTGCTGCTCCCACCCAGCCATCGCTTGTGTTGTGCTCCTCCTCTCACCATGTTCCTGACAGGTCGTGGGGCCACTGTGGAAGAGCCTTGCCATCATCTTCCCTCAGCTGTCGCTCCGTAGCGAGCGGATCGAGGAGAGGTGCAGGTGAGAGTGAGAGAGGGAGGAGGAGGAGGGGGAGGGGGAGGGAGAGGAGTGGGGAGCAGAGCAACGGGTGCTGACGGAGAGACAGTGAGATCGACTTCGAGAAACTCGACGTGTGGAAGGGGAAGCACGAGGGGCTGCAAAACATGCACGTGGAGGACCTCTTCGACTAGAAGAGGAGGAGGAGGAGGAGGAGGAGGAGGAGGATGTAGTAACAGGGTCACTACCAGACTCTGCGTGATCGGCTGTGGTCGTTACAACCTCCTGCTTGGATGAGCGTAGAAGATTAAGTAAGAAGAGCGGAAGCAGTCAAACTGAAATTGATTCAGGATTACGCGTTCACTAGTCGTCCACCCCCTCCTCCTTTCCCTTCTCCTCCTCCTCTTGCTCCTACTCGCGGTCTACCACCTCCTCACTGCCGTCTGTCCAGCTCCGTGTT